GCTATTATGAATTATGCCACTGTGAATGTTCATTTACAAGTTTTTGTGTAGACATATGTTTTCATGTTTCTTGGGTGTATACCTAGGATTAGAATTGCTTAGCCAAGTGGTAGCTCTGTGTTTTTGAGGAACTGCCAAAGTGTTTCCCAAATAGTTGTACCATTTTACTTCCTATCAACAGTGTATGAAGGGTCCAGTTTCTCAATATCCTTGTCAACCTTTGTTTTTTTTTAATTGCCATCCTAGTGGGCTTGAACTGGTATGTTGTGGCTTTGAACAGCATTTCACTAATGACTAATGATGTTGAGCATCCTTTCGTGTGTTTATTCGCCATTTGGATATCATCTTTGGGAAAATGTCTTTTCAGATCTTTTGTTCATTTTTTATTGGGTATTTTTGTTGTTGCTGTTCTGTTACTCAAGAAATTCATATATTTCACCAGTTATTTAACTTATTCACATGATTTTTTTACTTTTTAAAGCTTGGCTATAAATCTGTCTTCTTTTTCATTTAGCATTTTAGATTTTGCTCATCTTTTTCTCGTGATAAGTCTTGTCTGAATTTTCTTTCCATAAAACTATGGTTATGAATTCAGGTTCCAGAGTCTTTCTGCCACTTATTAGTTCTGCCGTTTACCAGCTGTGTCTCTCCTGGCAGGTTTATAACTACTCTGTGCCTCTGTTTCCTCAATTGGAAAATGGGTATAAGGGTAGTCTTTATGTAAGAGGATTATTGAAAGAATTAATGAATTAATATGTGAAAAGGATTAGTACAGTGCCTGACACTTTAGGACTAGTAAGTGCTCAGTTACTGCTATGAAAAGTGAAAGTCGCTCAGTCATGTTCAACTCTTTGAGACCCCGTGGACTATACAGTCCATGGAATTCTCCAGGCCAGAATACTGGAGTGGGTAGCCTTTCCCTTCTCCAGGGGATCTTCCCAACCCAGGGATTGAACCCAGGTCCTCCCGCATTGCAGGCAGATTGTTTATCACCTGAGCCACAAGGGAAGCCCTCAGTTACTGCTAGGTGCTGTTAGAAAAGTGGAAGCCTTTTCTAAGAATCATTTTTTTTGGTCTATTAATTTTTCTGTTGCTTTTTGTTCTCTATTTTTTTTGTATCTACCATTAATTTACCATAATTATTTGTATTTATATGCCTTCTTGAGTTTAACATGCTGATAAATATTCAAAGCTAGACATTAGTAATGAATAACTATAATTACTTCAGGTGTTTCCTAGAAACTGTCAATTTGTTTTGGTGGTTATATCCGACTTACTAAGAGTCATAATCCGAATTCCTTGTCAGCCATGATTAGGGCTCCATGCTCCCACTACGGAGGACATGGGTGCAATCCCTGGTCAAGGAACTAAGATTCCGAATGCCCTGTGATGTGGCACTCCCCCAAAAATCACATTCATGTTTTTCTTCTGTCTTAAGCTTATCAATATTAGTGTTCTGATCGGTTCAAATGACCAGCCCCCTGTACACTTGTACTATTTCCAACCCTCTCCATATTGGTATTCTCTGAAGTTTTGATTCTAGGTTATTAGGGATATACTTTGTTGCTTTTTTCCTTCACTGCTTATTTACTTAAAAAAAAAAAAAGACATTAACTAGTCTTTGTCATATCTCAGACTTCTCTTGGATTTCTTTTCCTTTTTACTAAAGTTTTTCAAAGAGGGTCTTGGTTTAATCTGAGTTTTTGTGTTCCTGCAGATATCATTATTTTGTCCTCATACTAAATTGGTATGTTGTCTCTCTGTGAAATTCTAGCTTCAAAGTCTTTTACTTACTTTAAAACCTATCCCTTCAGTGTCTTCTGGTTTCTAGCATTGCTGTTGAAAAGTTATATGTTCATCTGATTCTTGTTCCATTGTAAGTAATTTCTTCTTTTTAGCTTTTAGATTTTTGTTTCAGTTTTAATATTTCCTGTAACTTGTCTAGCTGTGAATGTTTTCTTAAATACCTTCTTGGCATTCTGAGCTATTTCGATCTAAATTTTCTTTTATTCTGAAAAATTACTAAGATTGTCTTTATTTTAGTCTCTTTTTTTTGGAGGGGATTCTTATGTAATATTGATGTTAGTTTTTATTTCTACTTACTTTGTCCTTAAATTTTCTTCTTTATTTTCCATATCTTATCCTCCTGAAAGCTTCTGTACTTGGGAATTCCTCATCCTGATTTCCTAGCTCACTAATGTGTTCTTAAACTATTATTGATACTTGTCCCCACCCACCAGTGTAATTCTTTATTTCAGATACTGATTTTTCTATTGCAGAGATTCCAGTTGGATTTTTCTTTCTGACACTTTTTCCTGCTTCATCTTTAAGTTTTCTCTTCTCTCTCACTCTGTGTAAATAAGATTATTATAACTTATTTTAAATCCCTATTTTTGTCTGATCATAACTGTTATTTTCCACCTGTGATTATTTTGTTGCCAAGAAATAACTGGTAAATGACATGTCTATATTTAGGTGAGTTATATAAAAAAAATTGGGTTTAAATTATCTATATTAAACAAGATATTTCAGTGACTTATCAAGAATAATATATTCTCCCTCAGTAGTTTGCTCAACTCTGATCATACTAAAACTTAGGTTTGTTTTATTTATATTTTCTGTTGTGGAAAATTTTCACATTTATAGGAAAGAGAATAACTTTCAAGCAAGTCTATGTTGCTGCCCTATCAGAGCTGTTATTAGGAAAGCAATAATTTCCAAGGTTTTGTTATTAAGTGGATACTAGTTATGTGGATTCAAGGCAGTGGAAGTATGAATAATTTCTTCTGCCACCATTAAGAAAATCAGGTTCTTTCAATAGACTTGACCATGACACAGTAGATTTTTCTCATCTTCATCTTTTCTTTGACGTTTATCTTCAGAAGCATCTCTGCAGCATTGTATATGTTCAGTTAGCCAGATTTATTTAAAAATTACTATAGTATATAAAAGTCTTCATGTTCAAGAAGTAAATTACAGGAACATAGTATAGCTAATAAGCTTTTAATAGGCTGTTCAGAGTGAGCAGTTGATGGCATGTAAGGTAATTGGAAGTGAGAAATAACCATAGGCAGATACTAAACAGATGGCATTGATATATTGTACCTTCTACCTCATCTTTTTCCAGACCATCTTCTTCGTAACTGACCCATTCAACTTCTTTCTTTGCCATCCTTGCCGATCTTTTATTCCCCTGGCCAGGATAACCAAATTCTGCAGTAGATATCATTAATTTATCACACATTCTTTGTCTGGCAAACCCTGGGTATCCCCTCAGAATCCTCAGCACAACCCTTCATGGAACCAATTAGAATTATCATCATAGATGGCAACTAGTTGTCATTTCTGTTCTGACTCTTGTTCCAACCATAGTAAGACATTAACTTACTCAGGTTGTATTTCATTTTGAAGGCTGAAAAGGAATAAAGATAGAAATGCAAGTAAAATGCTTCCCATTAGCCAAGATACATTCTTCTGCCTTGCCTTTACTCATCTTTTAAAGGCTTTCATATCACTCCTGCCCTTGCTTGCTTCTTTCTCTGCCGTTATTGCTGCTTCTTTCTACCTAATCAATTTGTACATGGAAATCAACACATTTGTATTAAGCAGTATAAACTAGATTTTGAATCAGTAATTAATGAAACGGGCATTCCTTTCTGTATGTACTCAACACTTTAGTCACTCTTCTGAGGTGATTTTTTTTTCTTTTTCTTTTGGTATAATGAAGTACTTTTTTTCCTATCCTTTATTTAGATTTTTTAGAGAAAATTAGGAGCCATTAGACCAGACCAGAGAGACCTCTGGTTACTCTGAAAGGTGTTTGTTTTGAATGCCTTCTTCCTGGAACCAAGCAATGGTCTACCACTAAAAAGAGATAAGAATTTAAGAAAGGATAATTAGAAGGAGATGCTGGTAGGGTAAACAAGTAGTACTTTCTTTATGTTCCTGAGTTACTATGAACTGTGGATACTTTTTAAATATTGCTGAAAAAGGCACAGGAGAAAGTGGACCATTTATGAGTGTCGACTGTATAGCCATTATTACCATGTTAAATGCGTTAACAGTATCATTGTCTTCACAACCAGTCTGTTCATTGTAGGCACTTACTTAACGACGACAATCAGGGTCAAAAAGGTAAATAATTTGCTCAAGGTTATATGGCTATTAAGTGCTACCCCCAGCTCTGACTTCAAACACTCCTCTTATTTCTGTCTAACCATTTAGAAAGTTTTCCTTCAGCACATTTTACCTTTTTTTCCTTCTTGATTTGGGCAATAATTACATACATAACATATGTTGCTTTTAATGTCTTATCGGTTATTTAGGTCACTGGCACTATGGCTAAAATAATAGGCTTCTGAGTCAAGTAGTGTTCTGAGCCTTTGAGGCAGGATAACCTAGTGATGTAGGATGATGACTGAGCCTGGTGTAAAAGCCTGGCTCTGCAACTAACTCACCTTGTGCAGATTTCTTTCTCAGACTACCATACAGGGGTGCTTAGAGGATGAAACATTCTAAAAGACATAGAACACTTAGCACAGTGCCTGACAGACAGTAAGTGCTTCATCAGTGCTACTATTATATATTTATTATGTTAAATCCCTAACTTCTCTTGAGATTCTGAGAATTTACACTGAAGTTACAAACCGAAGATATCTCCTACCCCCTTTATTGTTTTTTTGTGAAATTTATACCTGTATTCTCTGGTAAGAATATAATTTTTCATATTTTGGTAAAGTATTACAAGATTTCACTACTATTTGAAATGTGTCATATAGTATTTGAATCTGTTTTCTGCTCAGGTGTATTTGCCTCACCTCAGGATTTAATGTGTTTCTACAAAGATGCCAAAAATCTATTTGGGCAAGGATACTTCATATAACAGTAGTAGACACTGACCACTACTAGAATTTACTGGTTGGTGTCTTTGTTTTAACTTTTATTGTATGTAAATGCAGAATGCACATTCAGTGATTAAAACATTGACTTTTCTTTTTCAGAAGATGAATAATCTTTCATTTAGTGAGCTATGTTGCCTCTTCTGCTGTCCACCTTGTCCAGGGAAAATTGCTTCAAAGTTAGCATTTTTGCCACCTGATCCAACTTATACGCTGATGTGTGATGAAAGTGGAAGCCGTTGGACTTTACACCTATCAGAACGAGCAGACTGGCAATATTCTTCTAGAGAAAAAGATGCCATTGAGTGTTTCATGACTAGAACCAGTAAAGGCAACAGAATTGCCTGCATGTTTGTGCGTTGCTCACCCAATGCCAAATATACTTTACTCTTTTCCCATGGAAATGCTGTTGATCTTGGTCAGATGAGCAGCTTTTACATAGGACTGGGATCACGGATTAATTGTAATATATTCTCATATGATTACTCTGGATATGGTGCAAGTTCTGGGAAACCAACAGAGAAGAACCTCTATGCAGACATAGAAGCTGCTTGGCTTGCTCTTAGGACAAGGTAAATGATGATTGGAAATTGTTTTCCACATGCTGAAATTGTCTTGTGTAAGAATAACATGTTTTTGTAATACACTTTGAAGTACTAAGTAGAGTTTATATTTACCAGTATAAATCTATAAATAGTTTTAGATTATAATTTTAAATTTTGTATAATAGCATAAAAGACTTTGACATATTATGTGTGTGTGAGAGAGAGATTCTTAAAAATGTATTTAAGCCAGTGAAAAACATTTGGTTTTAGAAACTTATTAGAGAAAAAAAACTTACTGGATTGTAGTATTGAAATGTTTATTCAAACTTGCAGAATTTCAAGAGAGAAAAAACAGTGATTTAAATAATCATTCACTTGATCTGTCATTAACAGCATAAGAGGCTAGATAGCTTTTGTTCAGATCCTAAGCAGGATTTGCATTATTTTATATAATTAAAAATAAATAGAAATTACATTAATCATCTTCTATTCACCAAGATACTTACAGTTTTTTCTTGAAAAATATTGCAGTTTTGTATACTTCAATGTATTTTCTCATCAGACAGTTAATGTACACTAAACAGAAATAATACCTTAGTACAAATTATTCCTCATTATACATTAATAAGCTGCCTGACTTCCAGAGTATTTTAGAGTGCATAGAGAAAACTTCCCATTCCTAATTTAATCTTTAAATATTAATATTAATGGTTTCAGTTGGCTGGGAAGAGCTTCCTCAATTTCATTAGTAGGTATGATCTTTTTAGAAAATGTCTTTAGAAACATTTACCGCCCCCCCGCAAGATGTATAATAGATTAAGGTCTCATAGCAGAGTTCTGTATAAAGGAGATTCTTAAGTCAATTGAAATGATATGAGAACATATTTCTAACAAGTAAGAAAAAAAAGATGGTAAGTAGTAATTAAGTAGCTTCAGGGTGGGAGGGAGTCAGGCACAGAAGGGTAAATATTTATAAACTTCAGAACTACCGTAAATGACTGCAAAATATGCTTAAGTTAACTGATATCAATCCCCTCAGGCCTACAAACAAAAATGAGTGCCTCCTTTCAGAGTCAGCCAGTTAAATATAGTATAATACCTGTCAGGAAAATATAATTTTTTAAATAACAGATTTATTGCAATATAATTCACATACTATAATCAACTTCAGTGAATTAGTATAGTGTTTTAAGCTGCTAAAGCAGAAAGCCTTCCTTACTAGTGCTTCTAAGTAAGACAAAAGTATAAATTTATTGAAGTAAAACGTTGGTATCCAGTTAGGTGTTCTTTCTATGTTTATGTAAAAGAATTCCCTCTTGTAAATGGTCAGCTATATTATTTTTCTTTTTTAAATCTTCTCAGATATCAATTTAAAAGAAATGTTCTAAAATGATTTCTTGTCTTGGTTAATCTTTTTATATACTTGACCAGTATGATTGAAGAACAGGAGCAGAATAGATAAGTTATCTCACATACTCGTTTACCATAGAATTTCAAACTTATAATTTCTCTTACATTGAACCCTTAATATGGTTAGAAGACTTATAGGAAGTCTTGAAAACTTTAACTTTTCTGTTTCTTTGCTTAATGAAGAGGTTGAGCTAAATCGTCTCAAGATTCCTTGCAGTTCTCGAATTCTATCATTTAATAAAATGTGTGTGATTAGAATGCATGCTTTTCATTTCCTTTACTGGATTAAAGTAAAAAGTTAGGGTTTAAGTAACAGGAAGGGAAAATTAATAGAATTAATTATTAATAAAATTAATAGTTAATGAACTTAATTATTATTTGAGGAACTTCCTTTTAAGGGTAGTTGAATATCTATAACCCACGTTACTGAACTTCTGATGGATAACAGAAGATAAGGGACTAATGCTCACTCTGTGGCCTTTCCCCCCCAGTCTGAGCTCCTCGTCTGTGTGCTGTAGTAGAAAAAGCACTGGCCCTGGAGTCCTCATACCTGAGCCTAATTATAGTCCGTCATTAACTTACTCTGACTTTGAACATCTGCTCAGTAAGCAACTGACCTAGATTAGATGGTCTCTGAAGTCCTTTCCCACATGTACTGTTCTGAAATTCTGTTTCTGCCTCAAGTCCTCTGATGCTAAATTGGCAGCTGCTTCTGCTACTCTGGAGCCTTGCCATCGCTAGCTTTAGCCTAAAACCCGTCATTGCCACCAAATGTTCATTTTCCCAGTTCCTTCATTCCTATGAAGTTAGGTCTGTTGCAAACAAACAAACAAAAAAAACCTTTTCTTAGTTTTATATTTAGAGTCAGTCTGGAGTAGCTCAAACCCAGTCTCTGGGCCAGGGTCCAAATTCTTGTGTAGAACTGATTTGAAGAAACTGTGAGGAAGTATACATCACTACCTCGATAGTTCAAATAGTCTTTTGCCCCTGGCAAGAGCTGTAGGAAGCACAGGGGTTTATCTTACTTTTTCCTGGTAAATATTCAGATTCTATTACCTTTCACAAAACTAAAAACTGTTGTGCACATAACTGTTAGCATCCAGAATGACTGCTGTCAGACTGCTAAAGTGGAAAGGCAGTGTATTTGATGTGACTGTGGCCCTTAATTCATAAGCTCCCGTAGTACCTCACTTACACTTCCAGTAGTTTATAGTTAGGACAGTTATACTGTAGAAACATAGTGTGTACCCAGTATTACTGAGTTAGTGAGTCCATGTATTTAAATCTGAAGCATTTTTAAAGGAATTAAGTCATGTCTGACTCTTTGTGACGCCATGGACTGTAACCCACCAGGCTCCTTTGTCCATAGAGTTCTCCAGGCAAGAATACTGGAGTGGGTAGCCATTCTCTTCTCCAGGGGATCTTCCCGACCCAGGGATCGAACCTGGGTCTTCCGCATTGCAGGCAGATTCTTTACCTTCTGAACCACCAGAGTTAGGTAGTACTCTTGAGATTTTGTCATGAAGTCTATTCATAAATCACTGAACCATGTGGCATTTGGAATTCTCATTCATCTGTTGATCTTTTCCACATTAGTCCAATTCTATGGGTGAATAAATGCAAATCTCAAGAAAGTAAGTAATTTGCTCCAGGCTATAATACATATATTTTATTCATTCCCTACTGTTAACTATACATTGCGTTTTCATCACTACGACCAACTTCAGAAAATAAAAAGAGCCACTTTTAATACCTAGAGAAATAAAGAACCTTTGTTACATTAAATGGAATATAAAAACTGAATCTCCATTAAATATCAGTCCATTAAAATATTAGTGACATAGTATGTTCCAAATATATCTAATAATAAGCTACATTGAATTGCATAAATGATTTAATAAATTCATTCTTTAGGGTTAACATTCTAAGAGACCTCAGCTACTATTTTTTCAAAAGATGGAATGGAAACAGATGAAATAAATGAATAGATTTTATTATTGCATTAGATATGGTAGTGGTGGCTAAGAAACTTAAATTTTAAACATAAGTTTGTTGGCATTGTCTCATTCTGAGTCATTCTTTTTAAGTACTTACTAATGATTGAACATTTCATACCAGTCTGACTCTACAACTCTTTTTTTTTTTTTTAACTTCTGTACTATGTAGATACGGCATTCGCCCTGAAAATGTGATTATATATGGCCAAAGTATAGGGACAGTACCATCTGTGGATCTTGCTGCTCGGTATGAGAGTGCTGCTGTTATTCTTCATTCTCCTTTGACCTCAGGAATGCGAGTTGCTTTTCCTGATACCAAGAAGACCTACTGTTTTGATGCATTCCCAAAGTAAGTATTAATATTCAAGTAGTTTAATTCAAAGAAACTTGTGAAGGAATTTTTTTCCATCACTCAAGGTATTCATGTTACAGTTCTCTCAGCCTTGAACTCCTATTAATTAATATTTTACATATATTATAGAAATTGTGAAATAATTACTCTGTGAAGAGGGTGGTGGCAGAACACCAGTCAGCAGGCTGAAATGTTTGTGCATCAGTAACCTAGGTGAAAAGTGCTGCGAGCCTTATTTCCCAGATAGCGGCACTGAGTATTGGAGACAAGAGAATGAATTTGAGAACTAAAACTGATAGAATAAATGTTAGACTGTATATAAACAAAAGAATTTGAATATAATTCCCAGATTTCTGAGTTGAGTTGCTAATGGATGATAGTGCCATCCAGTGAGGTGCATAATACTGAAGGAGAGGAGCAAGTAGAGGGAAAAGGAGATACATGTGCATAAAAATAAGTGAATGATGTCTAATTAGTGATATGTTTTACAAAAGAAATGAATTGCAAAAATGTTATCTTAAATGAACCAGAATAATTATTGCCCCATAAGTCTGCAAACATAAGTGTTAGACAGATATAAAAGGAGGACTACATTTCTTCATGTCTCTCAACGTAGGATGATAGTTCTGCTAGCTCCTCTTCATCATTACAAAAAAATTGATGGCCTATTTTTCTCAATAAAGGGAAGAGGCAAGAAGTGAGAGCCTGGAAAATTTCAGTCTTTCTTTCTTTCTCAAATGGGCAGCAATACGAAGGTTTTTTGTGAATGATAGATGGGCCAAAGGCCAAAACATCACTCATTTCTTTATAAGAACAGCAAGGGTCATTTCAAAACCATTTTTTCTTCATTAGCCTAAGGGGTTACTTTCGTAGGGAAGCTTATGGGAGCATATGATCCTATCACCAGAGCAAGCTATGGGGTTTTTTGGTTTTTACATTTATCGAGGATTTGTTTTGATTTTAGAAAACGGTAGATTGGAGAGTATGTGTGTTATACTGTGTAGCTGAATGGTTGGAATGATAGGGAGACATTTGGGGTAAACTGCTGCCAAGTTATATGTCTGTCTGACACCCTCTTCCATTTTAGCTACACCAACAGAAGCACTAACAGTAAGTAAACTGTTTGAAAAAATCATACATTTCCTTTTTTGTTTAATTCCTCTATTATGGAATAGTTGGCAGCAAATAACATACCCAAGCATTTTTTCCTTACCAAATGCTGCCTTGAATTATTTCATTGATGATTTTCTTCTTTTTCTAGACTCTATCCTCATTTTATGCTTATAATACCTAAATGCCTTGGCACCTCTCTGTCTCTCTCAGGAAATTTTTAAAGAATTGTTATTTGTAAGGTTTCTTTGTATTGTTTGTCTCTTCCAAGTTGCCCTTTTTTATTGTTTATTTTGATCCTTGTGTTACATTTAAAGTATTCTCCTCTGATATCTGATAATTCTTGGTTGTGGGCTCATATGGAAAAGTAAGGAATTAAAGAGCCAACCTGAAGTGGGTGATTAAGACTTGTTGACTGAGTTTCACTATCCAGTGATCTGGTCAAGCCGATTAGTTGGGGATCCCCATGCTGCTCATCAATATTTATTTATCTTTCCTCTTAAGGCAGATATATAGTCTCCAAAGAAGACTCTTCCTACATCTGTGCCTTAAGAATGAAGGCCTGGATGCCAGCATGTATATGTTTACTTGTTATTTGATATCTCTGCCTTAAACTGTATCTGGTAATCCCCTAGTCCACTAGTTACCAAGCTGCAAAAGCGAGGGGAAAGAAAAGAACTGGGGGCAGGGGTGGCTAACTACTTCTTAACGAGACTTTGAACAAATCTATAGATTTGAATCACCTGCCTTCATTCGCATGTCAGTTCCTTCTGGTGTATTCCATGGTACAAATTGGGCTGGTTCTTCACTTTACCCTTCTATTGTCTTAAAATTGTGTTTTCTCCTATACTTTTAATCTATTTCTCACATCCTCATCTGCTTTCCTGTTCCAAAATGTTCTGTTTTATTTCTATTTTTGTAAATACCCTAAAAAAAAACACACAAAAACATTTTGCAATCATTTTAGTAAGAGATTAAGAGGGAGAAAAAAACATGAATGCAGAGAGGTATCAAGTTAGCACATAGCTGAAATAGCCCTTGATTTCCTCCTCTCCTTGCAACCTAAGTTTCTCTTCTAAATACTGACACTGTAGAAAGGAGAGATTCCCCTGGCAGTCCAGTGGTTGAGACTCTGCACTTCCCACTGCACTGGAACTAAGGTCCCATGTGCCGTGGGACAGCCAGACGGAAAAAATACCTGTGGAAAAGTAAACTACGGTGACTGTAATAATTGAGTGATTTTCAAAACAGAAGTGCATGAAATTAACATCCTCAGATAAAGTAGGGAGTAATGTAAAGATGACTTTTGAATCTTATTTGTAATCTAAAAGGCATCCAGCCCTTCTGAATTGATTCAAAGGTGGTTCTAATGTTTGAATTATCTAATATAACGCAAGAAAATCTGTTTTATGTTTCCCTTTCATACTTAATTTGTTGACTTCTTCCCCCTTCTCTTTTCCTACAGCATTGACAAAATCTCTAAGATAACCTCTCCAGTATTAATAATTCATGGGACTGAAGATGAAGTCATAGACTTTTCACATGGTCTCGCATTGTTTGAGCGTTGCCAAAGACCTGTGGAGCCTCTGTGGGTTGAAGGGGCAGGTCACAATGATGTGGAACTTTATGGACAATACCTTGAAAGATTGAAACAGTTTGTGTCACAGGAACTGGTAAATTTGTAAAATATTCTGTAAATTTGCATATTGGGTTTTCTTTTCTTGCTGAACTGCACTCTTTGGTAAATAACATAAAACCTGAAGGTTTTGTTTTCAAATCATGTCAGTTGCCTTCATAAATGTACAGGTAATGATTTGTTAACAGACTTAATGAAGGTTTTAATTACCAAACTAGAAACTGGAAATAACAGTATCATGCAGTCAGGCTGTGTAATTTATATTTTTTCTGTGAATTTTTTTTTTAAACATCAAGATGAGTACTGTATGAAATTTTAATTCTATAAAATCAAATGCTATAAAAGTATTGCCAAATGCTTTTGCATATCAGAAACAAATTTATAAATATTTTTAAAACATCTCAATGTACTAAATCTTATCCTGGTATATAAATGTAATATTCTTTCAATAAAAAACTGTATATCTAAAACAGTGAAAGTACTCATAATAAACTATATGAAAACATGCAAGTTCACTAAAGATGACCTAAACCCTGTCGTACAGGGATAGAGATTTAAAAGGTTATTTTATTGTAAAATACATTGAATTTGCTGTATTCCCTGGTTATCATACATTTTCTCCTAAAAAAAAGAAATGTAAGTCTTAATTTTTATGCCATCTGTTAATTTACCAACTGGTTACCTTTAAATGAGAAGTCATGATAGAACTGAATTTGAACTAGTTTTAAGTTTGGTATTATGAGGCAACTACTTAAAAATTTCAATTTAGTAATTTAAAAGGCATTTAGAGCTTCAGGAATGATTTTGTACACAATGTTTTAAATTTTGACTAATCCCGTAGAAATGCAGTATTATAATTATTAGAAAATCTGAAAGTCCATTAGATGTTCCTTAAGACCACACACAGACTGGCTATTTGATCCCTTTTCACTCTGACTATTTTTAAGAATAAGACCTGTTGTTTTGGATTATTTTCTGGGAATTTCATGGATTTACTCCTGGATGCAGGAGATAAGAAAACATTTAATTCATAACTTTTATATTAACCAATGTAGTAAAAAAAATAATAAAGCTCACACACAAAAACTAAGTTGCCTTTCCTTGAATGAATCCTGCTTGAATAAAACAATGAAAGAAAAATTAAAATTAATGGTATGTAGTCTAATTTGTAAATGAATGAATATACACACTGTGGATATATTTTAAGGCCTTATGTAGTTTTAATTGTTCTGCTTGTTCTGTGGTTATGTCTAAGACTATAGTATATGATTCTCTTCAAAGTATATCAAGTATTGTGAATGCTTTGGTTCAGATGTGTCGAATTAATAGTAAAACAAAAATATGCCACTCAGCTGTGCTTGTTTTCCTTCTTCCATGCTCCTCACTTCCTACTTAAAATAAGGACTGGAAAAAAATACCATTCATCTTTATAGTATAGAGATCTATAGTTTTCTAAATTTTATTGTTATTTCTTTCTTTTTAAGAGACTTTTTCCTTCTCATGATTGTCTTGAAGCCTATACAGTTCCTTATTTTTACAACATACCCCAGAGTTTGGCTAAGTGGGTTTATATATATATATATATATATATATATATATATATATATATATTATATATATATATTATCACCTGGGAAAATAAAAATATTGATCATACTACTTCAGTATTCACTCACTCATTCACCAGATACTTAGTGAATGTTTAAATCATTCAAAACGCTATGCCAAATAGAGACATTAACCTTGTCCTCAGAGACTTAACAGTATAACTGAGGAGACAGATACTTTATTGCGTGAGTTTATTATTGTTTGTGTAAGACTGAAGGAGATTTATAGGGTATTACAATAGGTAAGCGGACTTCCCTGGTGGCTCAGATGTTAAAGCCTCTGTCTACAATGCGGGAGACCCGGGTTCAATCCCTGGGTCGGGAAGATCCCTTGGTTCAGAAGGAAATGGCAGCCCACTCCAGTATTCTTGTATGGAAAATCCCATGGACGGAGGAGTCTTGTAGGCTGAAGTCCATGGGGTCGCTATGAGTCGGACACGACTGAGGGACTTCACTTTCACTTTCTAGAATAGGTAAAAGGCATTCTTGAGAGGGAACATGGGGAGGGAGAAGTCGAGGAGTCCCACAAAGAAGTGGTATCTGAACTGAGCTTTGAAGGATAACTTAAGAAAAGGCTAGACCTGGGTGGCCCAAAGAAACATTCCTGGTTGAGGGGAACAGTATATGGAAGCCTAGACGAAGGATTATGGTGTGTTTGAAATTAAGAAGACTGGTCAGAGGTCAAGGGGAAAGGAGGTCATAAGCATGAGGCTGGCAAGCTAGTTAGGGGCACAATTCCACATGGTATCATTATTCTGGAAACAGCCACTGATAGAAATATGAAACTATACTTGTCAAGAGCTTATGGAGGAAAAATACCTGGCGATTGTAGCTTGCAAGAAATAACATGTGAACCCGTTGATTACAACCTTAAGTAAGCTCATGGTAATGAAAAATTGATCTTGGAGAAATAATCTCATGTACAAAATGCTTATTAAACCACATCTGCAATACTAATTTCAGGATGCAGTGAAAGGACATTCCCAAATTAGAGCAAACCCTGGGGTGTTTTACCAAGTTGGGAAGGGTCTCATCAACCGAAATCTAAAGAATTACTTGACTAAGAAATGATAGCTGTCTTCAAATATTTGATCGGCTTGTACAGTTTATCCTTTTTGACTCTGTAAAACTAGGTGAAAGTTGTGAAACAGCAGATTAGAGCTCAGTGTAAGAAAGAATTTATGGTTCTTTGTCCATTAAGGAAAGGGAACACTTCTGAAGGATAAGTGAGTATCTTAAACATTGGCACAGAAGCTGAATGACATCTGACACTAAATTTCAGATTTAAATGAGAAATTGAGCTAGATGGCCCATCTGTAAAGTGTCTTTAAGATTTTATATTTTATTTAGAGTTCTGCCTAATCAGAGCATCTCCTGCTCTGACATCTAGAAGAAGGACAGTATGATGTAGAATTGGCAATCTCATCTGTGCACTCTTCTCAAGTGATATTAATAGATCTGTGACCTTGGAAAGTCACTGGACCATAGCTTACTACTAGAAAAGATAGCACAGATTGATCCCTTACATTCCTAATGTAATGTGAAAACCTCTTAGCCCCACTCATATGTAATGACTCATCGATTTTTAACCTTCCTTGTCAACAGTAGTACCAAATAACATATTTCAATATATGGCTTTTGTGCCTATCTACATTGTACAGTTTGGATAATAATCTTGGGTTCTGGGAAAATGGTCAGCAGTGTACATAACTCCTACAGTATCTTGTACAAAAAAGAAGAATCAGAACTTAAATTGGTGTATCGTCATCACACTTTTCCTCACCAGTCCTACATTCCACCTAAGAATATATTCCACAGTAGTTTTTTTCTTGGTGATTTCTATAAATACATAGGTATTGCTCGCTTTAAGAAAACTTGATAAATCAAAAAAAATTTCAAGTTGTAAACTGACAATATTTGTCATATAAATAGGATGTTCTCAGGTGCCAGTAGACATTATAGCAAAAACTTCAGGCCAGATAAACTTAAATCTTGAAAACTTTAAATATCATAAAGCCTAATCCCTTCATTTTACAGGTGAGAAAGCCCAAACAAGAGAAGTTACTTTGCAAGGTCTACAATCTAATTGTCGGGAGTTGTACTATCATTATCTTCTCTTCACCAAATTTATCTGGACTACTATGCCAATGGTCCTTTTGAACTGTAATACAATATAAACTTACTTACTTTCCAGTGTAAAGCATTTTTAAAGAGGCTCCTACATTTCTCTTTCAGCTAGTTAATTCATTGAATAGTCAATTGGTAGGTTATACCTTGAACATTCCTCTTTAAAGTAAGTAATACTAATGAATTTTATAAAGCTCAATAACAGCTATTTGGTTGTGTTAAAACCTGGTGAAGATGTAACAATTTAACTATAGTCACATGAACAAACAAATATTTCCTTCAGCAGCACATTTACTACTAATTATATAGCATTCCAAGAATAGGCAGTTAATGTTGGGGGAAAAAAGCATCAAAGCTGTTACTGCTAATTGGTGACAGGACAGGCTTTAAATTTGTTGCTTTGGTTTTTTTTTTGTTTTTGCTTTGGTTTAAAACAGGCGATATGTTCAGTACCATGATAGCATGTCACATTTTACCAATGTATATCCCAAATGATCAGTAATCAAAACAGGAACTATACATGTGAAATTGAGCTATAATTTGCAGAATAGAGAGATCTCTACTACATCTACAAATGGTTATGCCTCTGACTGAATTAGTTGAATGAGTAATGCAAAGGAAGGAAGCAAATGCCTCTATCCTGGAAACGACCCACTTGACCTTAGTTGGTGGGGGGGCAGAAAGGGAGGAGCAGGAAATAACAGGAGTTATAAGTATCAGTAAGCTAAAGTCTGTTAAACTGGTTCTTACATTAGAAGCCAGATGGTCCTGAAATTATTTTTCTCTGTCTTTATTTCCTCTTGTAGGCCACCATGTACTGAACTTGCATAATACAATTATAATGCTTCTAGAAGGAAATTTTAATGAACTTTTTCCCCCCAAGTTACACAGTATATTAATTGAAGTAATAAAGGTAGCAAATATGTTTATGTGTATAAGGGCATCTGAGTCAAAAATTTTAAAGGAACTGCTCTTTTCCAGGTTACCTGCAAAGTATCATGGATTTCAGACTATAAATCAAAACTTTTAACTTCTAAAGTTTGAGATTTTGATATTTTTTTCCTAGCTGGTTTGAGTCTGAAAATCTTGTGTTCCAGTTTTTCTAAGTTCACAAGTGGGAGAGAGACATGAGAAAATAGCTTATTATATATCCCCGAATACATGCAGTGCTATCAAAAATGATGATTATACTTGCTGTAGGAGCTACTGTAATATTAACTAAAAAGAAAAATATAAATGGTTATACTCACTAAGATGTAAATGCCTATGGAATAAACCAGAAGGGAATAAATAAAATGGAAAATTATTATGTTGCAGCAACAGGATTATGGGTGAGTATTTTTCTTTTCTTAGAAAGTTATCTTTTATGTTGCTATGCTATCTTTTATGATTTTTTTTAAATGGTTTTTATTTTCACTGGGAAAAACTGATTCTTTTTAAGAAATCCTAGGATCCCCGTATAGACCAATGAGAGTAACTCTCAAATGTTTTCAGCCTGGCTCTCAGAACAGCAAATATATTCCTCATATCTGGGTAATGCCTGATGTGACAGTTTTGTTTTGTTTTATGGGGGTGGAGGGAAGTCAAGGACTGCATAGTGTTGCATAGTGTTGCATAGTATAACTTAGAAATAATGAAAAAAGAAAGGTATGTGATAAAAGCATAAAAATATGTAAATACTAGTCTTTTTTACTATCATAAAATATACATAAATCTATTATAAAAACTTAAAATTTATCAAAACTTAAACACACCATCCATGGTGCCATTCTCGTTGAGAGAAATGTAAATATAAAATGTAGTAAACTCATAAAATTATGATACACACCCTGCTGCTGCTAAGTTGCTTCAGTCGTGTCTGACTCTGTGCAACCTCATAGACGGCTGCCCGCCAGGCTCCTCTGTCCCTGGGATTCTCCAGGTAAGAATCCCAGAGTGGGTTGCCATTTCGTTTTCCAACGCATGCACTATTACTGTATTAATTTTGTAGCCACCTCCTGTTGATATTGTGAGCTAAAGTGTTTGAGCATCTGCTTAAGTTGCTATGTAAGCAGTTCATCTCTCCAATAAATTGCATACAGCAGTAAAAATTGATCTCTTGTCATTCTCACATATTTTTCATGCTTGGTACAATACTGTAAACCTTGACTAACACTCTGGGACATATATGAAGTGCACCCAAAAAGCAGAAAAATGTCATGACGTTACAGGAAAAAATTGAGTTGCTTGCTATGTACCATTAACTATAGGTTGAGGTCTGCAGCTGGTTCAGCATAAGGACCATCATAAAAACAGAAAAGGAAATTCACAAAACCTGCTGTGGCTACACCAGCAGGCGTGAACATCTTCCACTTTGAGCAAAATACCTTTTTATCTTGTATTGAAAAATACAGCCTTTATGTGCATGAAGGATTATTATAAGAAAGGCATACCTAAAGACTCCAATATGATTTGAGGAAAAAGCAAAGTTAATATATGACAAAGCAAAAAGAAGTTGAATCTAAAGCTGGAGAATTTAATGTCAGCAAAGGATGGTTCGATGGTTTTAGAAAGATGGTTTGGCTTTAAAAATGTCAAGATAACAGAAGCAGCTCCTGCCAGCCAAGAGGCCACACACAAGTTCCCAGATGCCATTAAGAATATCAGCAAGGAGAAAGAATATCTGCCTGAATAGGTCTTTCATGTAAACCAAAGTACCCCGTTATGGAGGGAGAAAAAATGTGCCACAAAGAACATTTATTAGTAAAGAAGAAAAATGATCACCAGGATTTAAGACAAGAAGGGATACATTACTGTTTTGTGAAAATGCAGTCCGGTTTATGTTCCAGGATGCCCTTATCTATAAAGCTGAACCCCCAACTTTGAAGGGAAGAGATAGATACCATCTACCAGTCTTTTGATTGTACTACAAGAAACCCTGAACAATGAGAACCCTTTTTCAGGATTAGTTGTATTGATGCTTTGTCCCTGGAGTCAGGAAGTACCTCTCCAGTAAGGAGCTGCCTTTTGAAGTTCTTTTGATATTGGACAATGCCCCTGGCCATTCAGAACCCAATAAATTCAGTACTTCAAGGCATCAAAGTGGCTTACTTATCCCCAAACACATCTCTAATACAGCCTCTAGATCAGAGGGTTATAAGGACTTTTAATGCTCATTATATATGGTACTCTATGGAAAGGATTGTCAACACTATGGACAAAAAGTCCAAGAGAGTATCGTGGAAGTCTGGAAAGATTATACCATAAAGATGCCATCATCACAGAAAAAGCCATGAATGTCATCAAGCCCAAAACAATATATTCCTGCTAGAGAAAACTCTTCAGATGTTGTGCATGACTTCACAGAATTTATGACAGAACCAGTCAAGGAAATCATGAAAGAGACTGTGACCATTGCAAAAAAGTGGGGGTGAAGATTCTCAAGATACGAATCTTGGAGAGATTCAAAAGCTAATAGACACCACACCTAGGAGGTTAACAGAAAACACTTTGATGGGGCTGGGTGCTTCTGAACCAGTGCCAGACAATGAGCAAGAAGTAGAGTCAGAAAACAAATTGTCAGAAGAGTTCTGATTATTTATGACAGTTTTGACTTCTTTTACGACATGCACCTTCTATGATATGAGCACTGAAACTAAAGCAAATGGTGGAAGAAGGATTGGTACCATATAGCAGGGATCCCCAAACTTCAGGACCTAACGCCTGATGATCTGAGGTGGAACTGATGTAACAATAATTGAAATAAAGTGCATAATAAATATAATGCACATGAAGTGAAAGTCCCTCAGTTGTGTCAGACTCTTTGTGACCCCCATGGACTATACAGTCCAAGAAATTCTCCAGGCCAGAATACTTAAGTGGGTAGCCTTTCCCTTCTCCAGGGGATCATTCCCAACCCAAGGATCGAACCCAGGTCTCCTGCATTGCAGGCAGGTTCTTTACAAACAGCCACCAGGGAAGCCCAAGAACGCTGGAGTGGGTAACCTATCCCTTCTCCAGTGGATCTTCCTAACCTCGAAACTGAACTGGGTCTCCTGCATTGCAGGCAGATTCATTACCAGCTGAGCTACCATCTCGAAATCATTCCCCCTTTAACCAGTCCTTGGAAAAATTGTCTTTCAGGAAACCCATCCTGGTGCCAAAAATGGGGACTGCTGTCACACAGAAACATTTATAAAGAAACACAAAGGCAAAAAATCAGAAATTACAATGCATTTTCATGAAGTTACACCAAATGTGCCTCCCTTTCCTGCCTCCCCTTCCACCTCCTCCACCTCTTCTGCTTCTGCCACCCTAGAGAAAACAAGACCAACTTCCCTTCCTCCTCTTCAGCCTACCGGAAATGAAGACAATGACGATGAAGACCTTTATGATGATTCACTTCCTCTAAATGAATAGTAAATAATCATGTCATGCAGTTAATAAACTTATGTATGCATATGAGTGTCTTCATGCAAAAGTCTAGTAACTGTAGAATAAAAACATATTTTTGTGTCATTTTCTTTGCCTAAGTATTTTGTGTCATCATTTTCTTTGCCATGTAGAACACTGTGTGCAAGATTGGTACTGAAGGGAGTGGGTGGCTTATCCTTACACAGGCATAAGGTGAGTAATATTCAATATAAAATTATTAACACTAGTTTTCTTACTGTTTATGCCTTTGTTTTCAAAGAATTATGCTGCCGTACAGTAGTGTTCCTATACTTCTTTCATAATTGGAGAAACTGCAAATCAGCTTATCACAGGTAAGTGGAATTTTTTTTTTTAAGTAAGTGTTTCTAATACTGTATTATGGATATGACTATAATACTATATACCATAAACGTTCTGTAGTGTTTATTCATTAGTCTATATGTTGGTCTACCTTGAAGCAATTGTACCAATTACACTAGACTTCCATAAAGCAATCACATTGCTGTTTCTTTATCAGTGTATGAATCATTATACCTGTAAATAAATATGAATTTCTTTTTCACATTATCTTTTCATTTTTGATACCTAGGGTTAGTAGTACATCTAACATCTACTGTGTTTTATATTGTATAAGACAATACTGGTGTAGGTATTAGCAGAAAGATGATTCATCTTGTAAACTGACAGTACAAACTTATGGGATCAATACAGACAGTACTGTAAATGTATTTTTCTTATGATTTTCTTAATAATCCAGAAGTAAATTCTCTTGTTGTAAGTGATGCACTGCTTTCCTCTAGGTTTTTTCAAGATTTTCTCCTTGTCTTTGCCTTTCAGAGTTTTGTACTATGATATATTTGTGATCTCTTTGCACTTATACTTGGAGCTAGTTGAATTTCCTGGATGTGGAGATTACAGTTTTTCAATAAATGTGGGAAATTTTTGCCATTTTTCAAGCTGTTTTTTTTCCTTCTCTCAGTTCTCTCAGTTCAAGGGCTGCAAAGATTACAGAATTAGTCATCTGCTCTTATGTTAATGAGCCCCAGGCTGCTTTACTTTTTAAATTCTATGTTTGCTTTCCAATTTCCTCTGTTGTCCTTTCACATTTTTAACTGTCACTGCATGATACTGTGAGCTTGTTTTTTTTGCTCTAACTTGCTGTTTCTGGTGTTCCTATTCAGATGATCTAGGAAAACAGATAACTGAACTTATTAAATGAAGTCTAAATTAAGAGCACCATGGCTCTGCTTAAGACCCTGAAAAACTACACTATGAGCTACAGCCAGACAGTCAAGACTGAGCCTTTCCCCACTCTGAGGTAAGAATTAGTTGTTGGCTACCTTGAGGATAGGGTTCTACCCAGAAGATCTAGATTTCTAGGACTTATGGCGAAACTTGCTCTCTGGTGAATGTTACTGCTGTTGTCTTCTATGTTTCTAAGTCATGAATTTTCAAGAAACAGCGATATACTGTTAAGGGAAGCACACTGACTGAAACCGCCCACCCTGGCCAGGCACCGTACAACCATTTGCATGAGTTGTTTCACGACAGGAGGTCCTGGTAAGGAACACGGAACTAATAATCCACCACCAACCGGAAGAGTTCAGGAAAGGTCAAAAGGAGACACCACATGTCCGACCACCTCCCAGAATCCTCTCTGGCATCCATCTTGGCTGAAAAAGGCGTGCACCACCAGGAAGGACTCTAAGTCAGAATGATTGGCTAAAGACAACCTGGTAACTAATCCCATCACCATAAAACCATAAGACTGAGACCATGTGGAAGAGCTGTCCTCCTGGGCTCCCTGACCCTCCTGCTCTCCACCCGGATGCCCTTTCCCAGTAAAGTCTCTGGCTTTGTCGGCACATGTGTCTCCTCGGAGAATTCATTTCTGAGTGTTAGACAAGAGCCCAGTTTCAGGCCCTGGAAGGGGTCCCCCTTCCTGCAGCAATACCATTTCCAACTTTTGCCAATGTTGAAACAATAGTTTCTAAATAACTTATTACCAATCTGAGAATCTGAAGAGACCATAGGAAGCGGTAGCATGCATCAACCAGCCTTGAGCTTAGCACTTTTTAATAGCCATCACTGACTAGGATGATGGATTTGAAAGTGTTCTCTTTAGAATCATGAAGACAAAAAGTTAAGCTATGGCAAACATCAGGGAATATGGAATAGAACTTTCCTTCCAAACAAAGCTACATAATCAGGAGCAAGGCAGGGTAAGTATCAGTAGAGTCCAAATATCCTGTCAATTAAGAAATATTTTATGGACTTCCTTGGTGGGTCAGTGATTAAAGAATCTGCCTAGCAATTCAGGGAACACAGGTTCGATCTCTGGTCTGGGAAGATTCAACATGTTGTGGGGCAAATAAGGCCAAGCATCACAACTGCTGAACATCTGTGCCCTAGAACTTGTGCTCTGCAACAAGAGAAGCCGGTGCAATGAGAAGCCCGCTTGCCGCAACCAGAAAGCCCAAGAAATATTTTGCAATTCATGAGATAGCTGAAGAACAACACTGCAAAAAAATGTCAACTACAAAAAGATGCACAACATGAGAGTTGCAAGGTGAGCTTTATTTGGGGCAAAATGAGGATTGCCCAGGAGACAGCAGTTCAGATAGCTCTGAAAAACTACTCCAAAGTTAGAGGTAGCAGGAAAGATCAATATATATGATTTTGGTGAAGTGGGAGTTCACGCAATCAAGCGCTTACCTTACAAAAGATTTTCTGCTAGACACAAGGAACTGATGTCACCATGAAAGGATTTAGTGCTTTTCTAGATAATGAGGAGATGCAAGCATTGGGATCATGAAATCAGTTCCTGAAAATATCTAGCTATCCAAAGACCTGTTATACCAGTTTTCCTGGAGCACAGAATGTCTCATTCTCTACCCTGAACTCCCTTTAGGGCATGTCTAAGGTCAACAGCTGCAGCAGCACAAGATTCCATCTCCACGGAGAATTCCATCTCCACGTGGAATTCTACCTCCAAGGGTGGCAAATGCCATGGCGAGTACCCATTTGTAGTTGACAAAAAGAAAAAGACTGGGCTAATAGTTAATTTGAATAGTGTAGAGGGCTTCCCAGGTGGCACTAGTGAAAGGTTCGACCCTTGGGTCAGGATGATCCCCTGGAGGAGGGCAAGGCAACCCACTCCAGTATTCTTGCCTGGAGAATTCCATGGACAGAGGAACCTGGCAGGCTGCAGTGACTTAGCACAGCACAACACATTGCCTCTTTAGTGTTCATTAAGCCTTTATTTGGGTCACATTTGGTCTCTGTATTTTTGTGCTTCAGAACCTAAGAGAAATAAGTAAAAATAATGATTAAAAAAATGTAAAAGAACTTGTAAGGAAGGCATAACAATAGCTGTTGTGGCTGCACCCTTGTTTCACATCCTTTCCAGTGTGTTCCAGAAGTCATCTAAGTTCCTAAGAACACTTGAAGTGAGATAGAATACATATTGAACACTGTCCTTTTTATTCCTACCAGTTCTAGATAGTTCTCTAAACAGAGTGTTATGCAGAGGATTGTCAAAAAAAGAAGAAGAAAGAAGCTTCCCAGAGACACTGATCTGCCTTAAAAGAAGCTATCTTCTACCTTCTTATCTGTTGGACTGAAAGTCTCTGAAGGGCTGAGACTGTGTCTTTCCCTGTTTATGTATCCTTACCTTTTCCTTGGTCACTAAAAGCTTCCTGACATCTAAAGTAACATGAGGGAAGGAAAGGTTCTGAAGAAGTAAAACTTTCTTTTCTTCATTTGAAAGTTTTATAGAATAGCCTCATAATTCAGAGCTATGACTTCATATTTTCCTTTTGTCTTTAGTATATTAGGAAAGAAAGTAGCAAAATTAACAGTACAAGGGGAGAAGAGAGCATAGGTCGATTTGGGAAATCTCAGACCTACTAATGAATCTCCTGGAGCCCCAGTTTCATCATTGGTCAAAGGGGATGTTAATAATATTCACTCTGTTGTCCTTGGGAGTTTACTATGAAGGTTAAATAATAATCCTAAGTGGGAATATGTTTAGTGCTCTACAGAAATATAAAAATATAAGGGGTTATGTTCTGACTGTAGATCTCTGTCTAGCAATGAAGAAGATCAGGCCATGAATGACTTATAGACAATTTTTAGGGAGTTTTTATTCTTGATAATATGCCAGTTTACTAATGAATTTGCAGAGAACGCTCTGAGTCCATGCAGCAATGTGATAAAAGCTAGCTTATTTCTTATCCGGTTCTATTTACATGACTGACAGAATCTAAGGCAACCAAAAGTTACTGTCTGTTGTGCTTGAAAATGATGCTGCCAGGAAGACAGCAACAGCTGGATGACCCATAGAAACGGGAGCAAATGCACCTTTTGTCCTGTCCAATCCTTCCCTTCACTTGTGACACTTTGGCTCCAAAGTGTCCTATTGTCCCCAAACATGCTGCCTTTGTGTTCTTAGTTTTGAGTGTTAAACTAGAAAGGCTGGAAGCAAGACAAATAACAGTGGGTCAGCTGAAATAAAAATCTCATGGTTTTGGAAAAGATTTACTCCGTAATGGTAAATTCTTAGCGCTCACTTAAAAAAAAAAGCCCTAAATACATCCTTTAAATCCTAGTGCTTCTCAACCGATATAAACAGTAAGTATTCAAATTTAATTTGTTAGTGATTTGATGTTTAACTTTACTGATTTAGTAAGTTACTAACATGTTAATAAACAACAAGATTTCATCTCTTATGGATGATTGAGATATAAACCTAAAAATAATATTTCCGTTTATAAGGAAACAAAAATATGGCCTACAAGAAACTTTGCAAATTCCTTTCCTAATCTGCATCCTTTGTTTTCTCATTATAATGTGTTGGCAGCAGGGTCACTCCTCAGCATTATCTAGGAACCAACAGATTTGAATGACAGCATTTTTTGAAACAGCAGTTCTACCCAGAAGGGACAATCCCATTAAAAGAGTTGTCCAGGCAAAGTTACTGTTCACTTAACTACCCGAAATACAAGTTAATCAATAAGAAGTCTTCTCCTTTCAGCTGTCCTTGAGTTCTCCCAGTGACTTCTCGGTGGTGACTTTATTTAAATAAGCTCATCTCTCCAGAACTCAGAGAAGGAGGAAGGAGGAACACTCTAATTTAAACTATTTAATGAAGCAAGTATTTCTTCTACTACATAATGTGACATAGCATAAATGAACAAATTTTGTTTGATTTAAACTTTATCTATACATGGCTTGTCTTTTCCAATTACAATTGATACCTGTTTTTCTTTTTCTTTTTTTTTTAAATGAGGTTCTAATATACTGTTCTGACTTATCTAGTTCTGAGAAGAGGATTTTAGATCGGGGGTCCAAGAATGTTCTTCGTTTCCCATACTTCCTCAATTTTCCTACTTCCATGCTGCCCCATCAAAAAAAGCTTGCAAATTCACAAAATAGGGAAAACTGAAACTTGGAATAATTAACTAGGTATATAAGAAAAGCATTTTTAAATTCATGAGAAATACTCATGGAGGAGATAAAATGTAATCATCCTAGGGTGTTCAATACAATTGGCAAAGTTACTTTTCCTACCTAGATTTTTCATCTGTACGATGTTGCTTTCATCAAAGAAGTATTTTAGAATATGTGAAAAGGCTTTTAAATTTGTTGTGTTATTTTGCATTCTGATAATGATGATTATAATATTGGTTAGAGATTATAATATCAGGAAAAATTGGAATGGCAATTATAATATTGAGTATGATGACTGTATATGAAATACTCCATTGATGCTTCCATTGAGAGGTTAAGGGATTAAATTTCAGTCACCACACTCCTAGCTGACTTGATTTCATAGACTTTATTGGCTACATATTCCTCCCTGCCTTCCACCTCACTTCCCCATTCCTCTTGTGGGTCTCCTTCATCTCCCAAAATGAATGACTTGCACTCAACTTTTTGTCTCAAAGTCTATTTCTGGGATATTCCTAGAAAGATATTGTCATTGCTTAAAATATATTTGTACCTCCCTGGAATTATGGAAATCACCTACCTAGAAGGAAACTTTGAAAAGTGTACAATGGAAAGCAGGAGGAGTTTGGAGCAAGAAATGTCCAAATTAAAATGATTTTAGTAGCTCTGTGACTTTATGCAGTCCTCTCTAAACCTCAATGTCCTCATCAGTGAGTGGTTGCAACAGTAACATTTATCCAGCTTTCTTTACTGGGTCTTCTCAAAGATCTAATTAGATAATACACATAAAAAGATAGATATTAATACAAAGATTATTATTGTTGTAATTTATTCAGGAAAACTTCAAAACACCAGTTGAAATTGGGATGAGTGAGAAAGAAGGCAACTCAGGTCTGTAGCAGGAGATTGGTTATGGGATAGTGCTAATTAGACCAGCTAGAATTAAAACAAAGAATTTGCTTGCAGAATCAGAAAAATAATGTATAGTACCTTACAGACTGCATAATTTCTTCCATGCCCAGCCTGAAGAGTAGGATTCTGTGATAGATCATGGATTCCATTCTATACTGTAGAAGAGGTACACAGAAGGAGAAGAGAGATATTAGCAAGATTACACGAAGTTACAAGAAATTGCCTAGAAGACAGGGAGCAGAGAGGCAAGGGAACGCTGGATAGCAGCATAATCTCCTGGCTTCCCTTCTTGAATCTTACCACTCTTTCACATCTCATACGTCTCCTGGTAGTGGCTAAGCATGAGGGCCTTACCCTTGCAGTCAATCTTCCTGGACACCGGCAGAAGTAGACGTGATTCATCCAAAGCTCTCACTGCACAATCTGTAGGATTTCCAATGCTCTCCCCAAGCTTTCTGGGAATTCCGGGAGATTGTGCTCTCTAGTGACCAGCCTGGCTCTAAGCTCCTCTCTATAGAATTGACTCAGTTATAAATTGTCTTTCTTTTCCATGCATAATGCCCTTGTTTTGTATCTTGTTGATCTAGAGATGGAGCTTAGATTTTTTCCTTGATTTATACACTCACATACACATACCTACACACACTGAGGTTTTGCTCCCCTAAGATGTCTCCAGCCAGTGAGTGCACAGTGAGGCTATTAGAGTGAGGCATTCTTGCTTGACATTCTTGCTTCTCCACAGAGTCCCATGGAACTTTGCCCAAAGATTCCCCTGCTGACCTGGTCAAGACTTTTCATAACTGTGCTACAGTTGAAGGCTCATGCTACAAATTATTTCTTCTGGTCTGCTTTCCCAGGTTTTGTATCTTCATCACTATCTGAAGGCTTTCTTTGCCTACTTTGCCCCTCTCCCCCTTATCCTTCACATCTTTCTTCCCAGTAAATCTATTACCTATATAGTTTTATCTGCTTCTTGGAACCTGAACTAAGATGCTTCCTAGAAAGAAGTAATTATGACACCAACATTTAAGATCATTTTTCTTCATTCTGCTACACAGGTATAATCCTAGAATCTCTTTGCTGATGTTGGCTCATGAACCCCCTCCAGAATTTCCTGGGTGAAATCTGAAACTACCTGCCATGTGCTGAGGGCAGAGAGAGGCTGAAGAAAAAGGTCGACCACTCTTGATTGGTAGGTGGCAGGTTCAAGCAGCAACTGCACACGCATGCTCAGTTAGTCCAACTCTTTATGACCCTATGAACTGTACCCTGCCAGGCTCCTCTGTCCGTGGGACTTTCCAGGCAAGAATACTGGAGTGGGTTGCCATCGCCTTCTCCAGGGGATATTCCCGACCTAGGGATCAGACCCACATCGCCTACGTCTCTCACATTGGCAAGCAGATTCTTTACTACTAGTACCACCCGGGGAAACACTCAATAAGCAAGGGACCTTATTTACCAGGCCTATCTTGAGTCACTGAGAGATGAATAGATCTCTGCACCCACCCTCCAAATCTTAAAATTATCTATAGACATGTTAACTAGTTCAGTCACATACACAGACCTGACTGTCTCAACACCACAACATTTTTGTAAGGCTGTGTCCTTGGGCAGCTGCTAGGATGGGAAAGGCAATCAGAGTACATATTCCAAGGACAGGAAAGTGGGTAAGGAGCATCTAATTGTCCAAGTCCACCAGTCAGGTCAAACTGGCAGTCACATCTTGATAACCTCCTCCAACAGCTGGTAATATTTGACTATTATGGCATATATATATTTGTACATAACAGATTTCATTTGTCCATGACAACCAGATTAAACCTGGTCTAAGGTCCAAACACCAATGTCACGTAGTAGCCAATCTTCAGAGCTTACCCCTCCCTCTGAAGCTAAATTAGCAGCTCTGTCTAGGCTCACTTCAGAAGTCATTTCTCGGTCCATTCAAAAGCTAGCAGTGGTTCTAGAGGCTCTCCTCTGTTGGTGCCCTGCTATTAAAACTTTGCTAGAATCCTCAGGCCAAGGCTCTCAATGCCTATGTGGACAACCCAGAAGTCCTTCCCATAAACAACCCATAAACTTAGTCTTCTGAACCTTACAAACCTGCAATAATTCTTCTCCCAGTGTTTAGGAATATATCCATCTTCTAAAATAAGATTACTTTCCTCTTCTACCTTTGAAGTACTCATCCTTCATTTTCTTCCATTTTCAGTCTCCTTAAGTGAGAGTTGCTCAGTCATGTCCAACTCTTTGTGACCCCACAGACAGTAGCCTGCTGGGCTCTTCTGCCCATGAAATTCTCCAGGCCACAGTACTGGAGTGGGTGGCTGTTTCCTTCTCCAAGGGATCTTCCCAACCCAGGGATCAAACCCAGGTCTCCTGCATTGCAGGTGGATTCTTTACCATCTGAGCCACCAGGGAAACCCTCAAACTGTAAAAACAAAGATCCATGTAGTTTTCCTCAAGGGTAAAACCCAACACAAAGGCTTGGTTATCCAGCTGGGACCAGAGGATGCTGGTGTTACTGACCCTCCTGAGTCAGTCCCCAAAAAGGGTCCTCCGGCCTGGTATTGCTTGAGACTGAGCTCGTATCAGAAGCAAAGGAAAAGCATTATTCTCTGATCAAAGAGTGGAGAGGTGGGCGTTCTCTCTTTGGATCACAGGCTCTCCCCGTAAGCTGTGGGCACAGCTGCCTTATTGCATCTCAACCATGGGGAGGAAAAACGGGCAGGGGCTGAGTTCTCACAGCCCAGGCACAGCTGTGCTGTTCCATCGCCAGATCAAAGTGTCTCCTCACCTGGCCAGTGATGTCCATCTTGAATTACAGGACCATGTGCAGCTCTGCTTTTGCACACCATCTGCCAAGCTGAGGTGTTGGGTGCAGCCATTTTGTATTTGAATTCTGGGCTGAGAATTCAAGTAAAATTCAAATTCTAAGTACTGGTAAGGCCTCTGCACGCAGCACCCTATGAGCAAACGAAACTAGACTAAGGACGAAGAAAAAAGAAGAGGTTAGATTTTATTACTCAGATTCTATTTTTATTCCCTGGGAATTGTTAATGGGCTTTGTTGGAGACAAATCCCCCCTCTGTGTTGCCCCTCATTCTTGAGCAGCACTGAGGGGCTCAGGTCTGGCTTCTGTTAATATTAATACTTCTGGCTGAGTAGATGTTGTTGGTAACCCCAGGCAGAAGGGCAGAGCTTCTCCCCCAGCTGCCTTTAGACCAGTTTGATTGTCCCCAGGCTTCAGCATTCGCTGTTTGTATCCGTGAGTGACCCCCATTTGTTTAACCTTTCCAAGACAAGGGACTCTAGACAATTTAAGATACATGGCCCGAATATTAGGAAGAGGATAATGGTCACACATCAAATTTTTCCTAAAATAGAAGTCTCTAGGTCTTTTTCCTGAAGGCAAGTGTGCCCTGATTTTGAGGCTTACTGCCAGGATTGAATCTTTCTTGTCACACTTTTGTTGTTTTTCAGAAGAGAAACTTCAGGTTAAAGGAAGATGCACATGAGTGGTCAAGCAAGTCCATTGCCCCAGGTTGTCTCTCTGGAGGTTGGGACTTGGAGACCCTCTTCACTCGAGTGTGATGTACCCAAGGAGTGATCCCTGCAACTTCAGGGTAGAAAGGCTGCTAAGGATCACCAAGGGTCTGTTCCACTTAGGGGTGAGTTGGTTTTTCAAGCTGATAGTTTTCCAAAGTTTTAGGTTCACACAGTCTCTTGGCTGGAAGGAGTGGAGGGCCAGGTCATGGGTACAGCACCAGGTGCAACAGCTGGTCACCATATTCAGTGAGGGCTTTCATGATTTCTTCTACCTAGAGGGCATACTTGAATTGTTTCATTTCAAGGGGGTTCAGTTCAGTTCAGTTCAGTTCAGTTCAGTTGTCACTCAGTCGTACCCAACTCTTTGCGACCTCATGGACTGCAGCATGCCAGGCTTCCCTGTCCATCACCAACTCCCAGAGCTTAGTCAAACTCATGTCCATCAAGTCGGTAATACCATCCAACCTTCTCATCCTCTGTCGTCCCCTTCTCCTCCTGCCTTCAATCTTTCCCAGCATCAGGGTCTTTTCTAATGAGTCAGTTCTTCACATCAGGTGGCCAAAGTATTGGAGGAGCTTCAGCTTTTAGCATCAGTCCTTCCAATGAGTATTCAGGACTGATCTCCTTCAGGATGGACTGGTTGGATCTCCTTGCAGTCCAAGGGACTCTCAAGAGTCTTCTCCAACACAATAGTTCAAAAGCATCAATCCTTCGGTGCTCAGCTTTCTTTATGGCCCAAAGAGGTTAAGATATTCCTTTTGTTGGGCTTACGGAATGGGTCTACCATACATGAGTTCAAATGCATTTAACTTTAACTTATCCTTTGTGGCTAACCCCATACAGAAAAGGACAATCAGAAGCAACTTAATCCAATTTTCTTGAGTTTTCTGATGTAGCTTGGCTAAGGCCCATTTCAAGATCTAATTGAATCTCTCCACTTTCCCCAGTGGATGATTGGGGTTTCAAGGCTGAGAGCAAGGTACATTTTATGCCCAAGGTACTTGTTATCCCCTCATCACTTGAGACACAAATACTGGACTATTTTTACTTTGTCAGAATCCTAGGAGTCCAAACCTGGGAATTATTTCTTTTAGCCTTAGCCACTTCAGCTGCTATTTCAGTTTTAGCAGGAAAGGCTTTTACACACCCAGAAAATATGACTGCTAGCACCACCTGAAATTGCCTAGTACTCTTAGTAGGACAATAAAATCAATCTACCAATCTTCCCCAGGATATGTTCCCCTGGTCTGATTGGGCCTCCTTGAGCCCCTGAGAGGTCTGGTATTCATTGTGCATATGGGGCATGTTTCAACTATCCTATTGATGATACTTTTCATGTCAGGAGTTACCATAGCATCAACAAATCAATTATATACGGCTTATCTCCTAAACAAATATTTGTCAAGAAATACCTAGAGTAACAGGTAAATTTGGCCTTGGAGTACAAAATGAAGCGGGGCAAAGGCTAATAGAGTTTTGCCAAGAGAATGCACTGGTCATAGCAAACACTCCCTTCCAACAACACAAGAGAAGACTCTACACATGGACATCACCAGATGGTCAATACCAAAATCAGACCAGTTATAGTCTTTGCAATCAAAATCGAAGTTCTATACAGTCAGCAAAAACAAGACCAGGAACTGACTGTGGCACAGGACATGAACTCCTTATTGCCAAATTCAGACTTAAATTGAAGAAAGTAGGGAAAACCACCAGACCATTCAGGTATGACCTAAATCAAATCCTTTATGATTATACAGTGGAAGTGAGAAATAGATTTAAGGGACTATATCTGATAGACAGAGTGCCTGAAGAACTATGGACGGAGATCCGTGACACTGTACAGAAAGCAAGGATCAACACCATCTCCAAGAAAAAGAAATGCAAAAAGACACAGTGGTTGTCTGAGGAGGCCTTACAAATAGCTGAGAAAAGAGAAGCTAAAGGCAAAGGAGAAAAGGAAAAATATACTCATTTGAATGCAGAGTTCCAAAGAATAGCAAGGAGAGATAAGAAGGGCTTCCTCAGTGATCAGTGCAAAGAAATAGAGGAAAACAATAGAATGGGAAAGACTAGAGATCTCTCCAAGAAAATTAGAGATACCAAGGGAACATTTCATGCAAAGATGGG